GCATACAATATAAGGGAGGAAAAGAGGCTCACTGCCCGCTTCTGCTCTTGTTGCTTTTGCTGTCTTCTGCCACCTTGAAGTGTCGCCCCTGTGCCATGTGCTACCCTGCCTTGGAGCCAACTGATTATGGACTGAAACCTCCACAAACCTCCATAAACCTTTCTTTCCTTCATTTTAGGTGTTGGATATTTTGTCTCAGCTATGAGAGAAAAGCAACCAAGACAGCTGCACAGAGCAAAAGGTATTCTGTAGTGCATATTCTCCAATTTTATATATAAATATATATATATATATTTTTGGTCTTTTTGTGACAGGGTCTTGCTATGCAGTTCAGGCTGGGCTTGAAATCACTTTCTTGCCCAGGCTGGCCTCGAACTCACAACAATCCTCCTGCCTCAGCCTCCTGGGTCCTGGGATTACAGGCGTGCGCCACCACGCCCAGCCTATATATATGTTTTTATTAGTGACATATATTGTATGGACACCACGTACTATATTTTACTTATGTGTTTTATAAGTATATTTAGGGTTCTTTTTTGTTGTTTTTGAGACATGGTCTCGCTTTGTAGTTCAGGCTGGACTTAGAGAGCCCAAGTTGGCCTTGAACTCATGGCTATCCTCCTGCCTCAGCCTCCCGAGTGCTCGGATTACAGACTTGTGCCGCCATGCCTGTGTTGGAACAGAATTTAGCGTCTCTCTCACACCTGCTCTCCAGAATTCTGCAGGTAAGTTGCCACTGGAATGGGATCCTGCTATTTAAAAGGATACATGGGCCAAAAAGAGAACGGAGGACCCCTTTCTTTCGCACGTTGTACGGTATCTTGTCAACTTGCTCCCCCTAGCGTCTGTTTTCTGTATAGCAGGTCCTTCTAAAAGCATCCTTCGCTTAAAGTCATCAAAGGCCTCTGCCTCTCCAGAGGGCTCGGAGCGCTTCCCCCCGCCCCGCCGGGCGCACGGAGCAGTCTGGGCTTGTTTATGCTGAGCACGCTGATTCACGCACACTGCGCTCAAACGCGCCGCGCTTGGTTCTGTCCCAGAGCTCTGGCATCTGCTGGCTCTTGGGCTTGCTCCTTCTAGGTCTTTGCAGAGCTGAGGCTCAACTCCAGTGATGTCTGCCGAGGTCCTTCCCTGACCCCTGCAGCTAAGGGACACCAGTCCGCGGGACCCTCCCTCTTCGCCCTATGGGGACTGTTCTGTGACACTTGTTTGTGTTTGTCCGCCTTGGCTCCTTAACAGGAGGCCTCTGTCCACCCTTCTCGTCCCTTGTCATGACCGTCTGTGCCTGGCACCAAGTAGGAACTCATCATCTCGCTGGATGAATGAATATCGGCTTGTTCTTATCTGGATCGGGCATTGTTAGCTTGAGATACAGCATTTTCAAGCGATCACTCCCTCCTCTCCCCAGCCTGCTCCCAGTGGTAGATGAAATGAGGGTTTTCAAGTATACGTTCATGTGCACTGGGGTTGGGGAAATACTTTTTCAGATTCTCAAAGGAATCCAACAACAACTTTTTTTGTTTTTCTTGAGGCAAGGTCTCACAGCATAGTTCAGGCTGGCAGTGATCCTCCCGCCTCAGCCTCTCAAGTGCTGGGATTACGGGCATGTGCCACCACGCCCAGCAAAAAAATGTTAGTACTAGTACAAAGTTCTAATTGCTAAAGCACTTTCTCACACAGTTCTAATTACATTTAGAGAGAGGTAGTGTGAATTTAGCAATCCTACTTTGTAAAGATGGGGCAGTATAGATGGGTGAAACATTAGAAATCACACAGATTATCAGTAAGGGCCTCACTATGTAGTTCAGGCTGGCCTTGAACTCACTATATAACCCAGGCTGGCCTAGAACTTGCAGCAATCCTCCTGCCTCAGCCTCCCAAATGCTGGGATTACAGATATGCACCACCACATCTGGCCATAACTCCAGTTTTTTGGCGTCAAAATTCTGAGCTCTTTCTGCTCAAGACTTGATAGAATCCAGAACTCAGGAATCAAAATTCTGAGCTCTTTCTACTGGAGACATGGCAGAATTCAGAACTCTGAGGAGAGATTGCATTGGTCTTGGTCTATCTTAATTTGTTCAATAGTCAACACATTTAAATACTTTTCCAAGGACTTTCTCATTTGAGGTAGCTTATACGCATGTGCTAGGTTTTGGGCTTGGGGTGTGTGTGTGGTTTGTATTTTATTTATTTATTTTTAGTACCGGAAATCGAACACAGGACCTTGCACCTGCCAGGCAGGCACTATGCCCCTGAGCTATATCCCCAGCCCTGTGTGTGTGGTTTTTAGCAGGTGCCCTACACTGAGCTACATACCCAGCCCCAAATTAAATTTTTCAGTAAAAAAATTAAAATAAAAATTAAAAAAAATAAATCCAATATCTAGATCAAGACCCTCTACCCACACTTGTTAGCCTGTTTTTGAATGAAACGTTAATATACAAACTAAGGGAAGCAAAAGAATTTTCTACTCAGCTAAGAAGAGCATACGAGCAATTACAAGATAGATTTGTAGGAATGACTATACCTTAAAGCCAAATGAAGATGTCGGGAATCTATTTGGCATTTACTTGATCTTGCAGCTAAAATGTATAATCAACACATCCTACGGAAAAATTCATTTTTTCAAAAATCAGTTTTTCCGCGAAAGAAAAATCTAAATTCCAACTCTCTTTTCCAAGAAAAGGGGCAACGCCCCCCACCCCCCCAGCATTAGGTGGCAGCACATTGCGCTAAGCTATGGTCGCATCTCTACCCGAGGGCTGTGTCTGCAGGACACCTGCAAACAGCTTCAGAAGAGCAGGTTTCGTTAACTTCAAGAAGTTATAGGGAACAGGGCACTTGAAAGAATCTCCCACTCTGGGAAGATCCTCAAGATCAAAAAGATGTCTTCTCCTCCTTCCTCGCATCTCTAAAGACCTACGTCTGTATTTTAGCAGAACCAACACACCCTTTCTTCAGTGAACTGTTTTCCTTAAAACCCACAAGCTTGGCATCATGCGCTCAGCACTCTCTAATGAACTGGCTTGGGTGTTGTGTCATCCTTAGAGGGTGAGGTGTTTTAAACGTCAGCCCAGTGCAGGAAGACAAGTATTCAAAGAGCATTTCGTTCAGAATTACTTCCTCGAAGGTAATCTTGTTAGGGGTCTCCACTGAGAAACTGACTCATAGCTTTGTGTTATCTGTTGTATTTGTGAAAACTTGTTTTGTTGAGACAGGGTGTCATTATGTAGTTTAAACTGGTCTTGAACCATGTAGCTCAGACTGGCCTTGAACCTATGGTATCCTCTTGCTTCAGCCTCAGTGGTGGGATTCAGGTGTGTACCATCACACCCAGTGGAAACTTGTCTTTTGTTTTGTACTGGGATCAGCTGGATAGCCTGGGACACCTAGGCAACTCCCCTGAGCTAGGGCTCCAGTTCCCTTCCAGCCTTTTTCTGAGATAGGGTCTTGCTAAATTGCCCCAGCTGGCCTTGAACCTGTGATCTTCTGGCTGGGATTGCAGGCATGCACCCCCATGCCTGGAAACTTATTTTTTTTTTTAAAGATCTATAAGCAACTGCACTATTTCTATGGTGTAAGAAAACAAAAGTGTAAATAAAGACCAAAATGTATAACGTATTGGGAAATGGGAAAAAAGTGTTCAAATGGGGAGGGGAACCAGGGAGGGGGAGAAGTGGGGGGAGCAGAAGGAAGGGACAAGAAAAAAATGGAAACAAAGCTTTTGTAATAAGGAGAGGGAGAGGGGTCGAAGGGAGGGGAGGGAGATGGGGGGAAAAAGGAAGGAAGATGTATAATGAACAGATCCAAATTCCCTGTGATGAATGTGATCACTATGTATATCTAAAATGTGCCACTAAGATTTTAAAAACACAAGAAAAGAGGGGAGGGCCGGAAATAAAAGATAAGAAAGAAAAGAAGGAAAGAATCGGATCTATAAGCAAACCACAGACATAGACAAACAAAACAAAACACCCAGAGCCCAATGCAAACAGCTCCTGCCTCTTGGTTTGTGACTGCCAGGGTTCGCACACTTCCAGACTACTCCTGAGCTATAATTGGTGCCACCATCTCGGGTCCCACCTGCTGCCGGGGTTAACCATTGCTGTGATACAGGAAGGACAATCTGTTCACGCCTTTCCTTTCGTCCTTTAAAGCAAACCCTGAATAAGCCAAGCCTGGTGTGCATACCTGTAATCCCAGCACTCGGGAGGCTGAGACAGAGGACTACCACGAGTTTGAGGCCAGCCTGGGCTCCATGGTGAGTTCAAGGCCAGCCTGAACTGCATAGCGAGACCTTGACTCAAAAACAAACCCTTGAATAAACATCTGGCAAGAAGAGACTGTGATGTTGGGGAGAAAAATGCCTTTGGCCAGCAGCTCGTAACATATTAAAGGCTGATGAGAACTTTCCTATCTTTCCTAACCTACCTTTCCCGCCCTTGCTATAAAAATGTCATCTGAAAGGGCCATGTGCTATGACTGGCATACACTTGTTCATCCCAGGAGTGGAGAGAGATACACTTTTACAAGGATTTTAACTTTCGCTCTTCAGCAGGCTAGCATTTCCTCTGGATTCTGAGCAGTACAAGACCTTTTAAGCACACAGGCGTTGTTTTTCCATACGTCAAAAGCCTTGCGTCTACATACCGTCTGTCATGTCTTGGAATGGATTTTACTCAAATCAGATCCAAGTGTCCCTGAACGGCGGTGTACAGAGGCAATGATGCGGGAGAACTAGTCTGGGACACCTTTCAAACGTGTGTGTTTCACCTCCCACTAGAAATGTCCCCAGTCGCTTAGCTGGTGAAGAGGATCACAAAGTCAAGGCCTTCATCTTCTTGATGGCCTTTTACTTCTGTCCCAGGAGGCCACAATTCACCTCTCAGAAATTTACGTTTCTAAATAAAGGTGGACCGGGTCAGGAAAATATAAGCAAAACTGCCCAGGACAGGAGTTCCCAAGCCCAGAAAGCAGCCGTGTCACCAGGCCTTCTCATCCATTCTTTTGCTCAGCAGGTGCTGAGATCACAAAAAGAAACCAGATGGATCAAGCCCCAGCCCAGGAGGAGTTTGGTGTAAAAGCAGCAATTCCTATCCAAGTCCTGAAGCAGGCCACAGAGGAACCGAACCCAGGCTGGACAAGCAGTAAAGTGCAGGTGGGAACGGCTTTCCAGAGAAGGAAGCCAAAGAAAGGCGTGACTGGCACTGTGAACGTCCCAAAGGCAGTACTGAGGGAGTGAATGCAACTTAGAAGACTGGGTTCAGCCCCTAGTCCCAAAGGGGGTGGGGGAGAAGGCCAGTAAGAGCCACTTAACATACATTTATTCTTGAGTTTTAAAAAGGGAAGGATGGGCCGGGGATATAGCTGAGGCACAAGCACCTGCCTGGCAAGCACAAGGTCCTGAGTTCGATTCCCGGTACCAAAAAAATAATAATAAATACAAAAGGAAGGATTAGGCAGTAGGCATTTGGGAATCTCAAGAACATGCAGTCATGAGGGTGAACTGTTTCTCCTACCTGACTGCTTATTATTACTGTCGGAAACACAACAGATCTCCTACTCTACCAAGTTGGACTGAGAGTCAGTGTAGCACTCGGAATCTCACAACAGGGGCTTCGTCCCTGTACAGCATAACATGGTTTACAAGAACTAAGCCAACACCAGGAATGTAGCGGTGCAGCGCCTGCCTGCAAGCACAAGGCCCTGAGTTCAATTCCTGACCCACCATGGAAAAAAAAAACTAAGCCAACTTTCCAAAATCTGTAGATTTAAACAAAACAGGGTGATAAAAAGGATTCTTTTTGCGTTGTTGAGGCTGGAAGCCAGGGCCTTGCACATCCAAGGCAAGTGCTCTACCTTGAAGCTACACCCTCGGCCCAAAGCGAGTATTTTTACCAGTGAGTGTGTTATGACATACACGGTTCCTTCCAAAATCCCCAGTAAAATGTTAAGCTACACCTAGTAAAAGAAAGCTGTTAATCAGCAAGACAACAGCGCCACCCTGTGTTAAAACGACCTTCATTACACCCATAATGTTACTGCTAATAAGATCACACAAAGGGATTCTAATTACAGAATATAGCTTTATTTAATCTTACAAATAAAACATTTACAGTCCATATAACATAAGTTACCTTCTTCTCTAATTCTTCTCGTAACACCTGAGTTATTTAAAATAATACTGTGATGGAACTGCAGAACTGTAAAGGGAAATTTATAAAAACAAACCTCTCTCTTTTGCAAAAATCAGATTTTTTTTCCTTATAAAGCAGATTTCCAGCACATTATCATCTCTTTGGAGAAGGACTTACTAAAAATAGATCTCAGGCTACCCAAACAGAAAAAAATTTTTATGTAGTACTGGGGATCAAACACAGGGGTGCTCTATCACTGAGTTGTATCCCCAGCCCCTTTTAAGTTAAGAGAGTCTTACTAAATTGCCCAATCTGGGCTTGACTTGCAGTCCTCCTGCCTCAGCCTCCCAAAGTGCTGGGACTGCATGTGTGCACCACTGCTCCTAGCGCAGAAGTCTTTTTGAAGCCCAAGGTGAAGGACCATTGAGGAATGGCCCCCAGTTGATACTAGACACAGAACACCTTTGGAGGCAAGGACAGAGAAGGAGGTGAGAAGCAGCAGAACCCTGTCCCTGGCTTCTGGCTCCTGCGTGATGTGTTTCCTTGCTGACTTTAACAGACTGGGAGCTGGTCTGGCTGGAAAGAGGCTGAAGGTGCTGATGCCAGGGGAGAAAAGCCCTCTGAACTCACTACCCTGTACACTTCTAATATGTACAAATGCTTAACACAGCAAATTCAATTCATAAACATCAAAAAGAAATCACCACATTGTCAACTCAGGAGGCAAGTCTGTTACGTATGCAATGTGGTCCCCCTACCCCTTCCTCCTAAGGCCCAACTGGGGCTGACCCTGCACCAGTGCCTTTAAAGAAGACTAGTTCATACATGTTGATCAATTTATTCAAGATTAGGTTTCTCTGTTTCTTTTTGTTTGTTTATTTTTGAAACAGGGTTTCACTACGCAGTTCGGGCTGGTCTTGAACTCACTTTGTATCCCAGGCTGGCCTCAAACTCACAGCGACCTTCTTGCCTCAGCCTCCTGAGTGCTGGGATTACAGGTATGCACCACCACCACGCCCAGTTCTAACCTTCTCTCTCAAATTTAGAAACTCATTAACTCTAATTCAGTATTCTACTCCAGAAAAAGAACTTTTTGCTTTTTTAGTAGTACTGAGGATTGAACCCTGAGCACTAATAATCCCCAGCCCTTTTACTTATTTATTTACTTATTTTTGAGACAGGATCTTGCTAAGTTGGCCAGACTGGGATCAAACTTGTAATCTTCCTGTCTCAGCCTTCAGAATGCTGGGTTTATAGTTGTGTGCCATGCCCAATGACAAAGGACATTTTTTAAGGAATGATGGGATCTAGATAGGGAATGCTAAAATTAAACATTTACTACATTAATGTGAGTTAAGTAAGACAAAATCTTCCAGAGCCTTAATTTTTCTTTCTTTCTCTTTTTTGCTTCTGCAGTGCTGAAGACAGAAGCTGGAGCCTTGTGTATGCTAAGGCAAACACTCTACCACTGAGCTACACCCACCATGGATTCTGAAATTGTGCCATTTTCTCCCAGCTCCTGAGAGCAGCTTGAGAATTATAAAACAGAAGAGACAAAGAAGCATTTTAAAACAATACCGACAGAGATGATGCTAAAATAAAGCTGAGAGTCCAACATGCAGGGAATTGGTTCTTTGGTAAAAGTGGACCCCAACTCTACCAGGAGTTGGTACTGACATTCAATCTGGAATCCTGGTGGCTAGATTCCCTCCTCCTTCAGCCTATCCTCAGCCCCACCCAAGGCAGGAAGCAAGATCGGGCAGGAAACTTAACAGTTCTCCTGCTCCTGCTCTTTTCAGGAATGTTCCTGGTTTGAGGGCTATTTCCCAAGAAGAAAAAACGAAATAGATTCTGCTCGGAATCACAAGAGTGGGCAGTGTTTCCGCCGAAGAAGAGAAAAGCTCAGGCACTGGTGATGAACCTGTGCTCTCGTCTGTCCTGCTAACAAACACGGCCCCTGGGCTGCTGTGGGCACCAAGAAAGGCTTCTGGGGACACGGGTTCCCCAAAGTGGCTAAAGAGTCTCGCATTATCAATATGATAATAATAAATCATTCACCTAGTGAATCTGGAGATCAGCTCCCCTTGAAGCCAGGGTTCTGAGGCAGGGGCTCCACAGCGCCCGAGGCCGGCCTGTAGTGCTGGAGACAAGCACACCGTCCTCTTTCCGGAGGATCAGAGCAATTCATATGGGGGCGAGCCAGGACGCGTCACCCAGACAGTGACAGCACCCCAAAGCCAGGCTGAGTTTCTGACCTCACTGTCTCGCGCCCCCTAGTACTCACACTTGGCGTTTATGTCATTAGCAGGTCCTCAACTCGGCCTGCACCCATTCCGCTACTGCTCTCCCTGTCACCACCATAAACAGCTGCGCTCTTCCTCTACCAGTTGGCTTGCCAGTCTGCGGCAGAAGTCTTGATCGGGGCAGTGAGTCTGTGCAGTCTCTCCTCTAATACAAACATTTTATTTTGTTGTTTTTGTTTTTTGAGACATGGTCTTGCTGTGTAGTTCAGGCTGGCCTTGAACTCACTATGTAGCCCAGGCTGGTCTCAAACTTGCAGCAATCCTCCTGCTTCAGCCTTCCCCGTACTGGGATTACAGAGGTGTGCCACCATGCCTGACACAGGAACATCTGAAGTGTGCTCAAAATGTGCTTGTAGAGAGGCAGCTAAACAATCTCTTAGAAGAAGGTTGCTGGGAAGAGGAGGTGGGAATCAGCAAAATCAACTATTTTCTCCCAGGGCTCCTGCCCCTCTCTACACTGTCAGTATTAATGTGGAAGAGGAGGAGGCCTGGGCAGCTGCCCACTACGCTGGCCCGACCAGACAGCCAGGGGACAACAGGGTTGGACAAGAACAGCATCCAGCATCCCAGTGGGACCAAGTGAGCACCCAGGCTGGCCCCATGTCACTGTTTCTCCGCCCCTGTCACTCAGGATGGTTCCCGCCTCTCCTGCCCTACTCACCTGCTCTGAGCTTTGGTTGTCTGAATGAATAGGAAATAAACAGAGTCTGAAAATAGTGGGGGAGGGATCCCTGTCCCCTGCCCTTTCTTTGAAGAGCAGGAGACCCAAATCAAAAGGGACAGCTTGAGGTCCAGGATGCAATTTCGATTCGCAGGCCCCCAGGGTTCACCTGCTGAGGTTTCTACCCAGGCTATGACCGCTGCTGTTTTTACACTGCAGGGTCCAAGAGGCCAAATCTCATGGTGTTGCTTCCGAGGGAGATCAGAGTAACCAGAGAGAAAGGGAGAGGCTTGTCCTGTGTGCGACACTCGGGTTCCAGCGTGACCGTGAGGAAGGAGCAAGGAGAGGGGCGAGGCACTACCTAGAGAATGGCTACCGCGCGGCTCGCTTTCTGGGACACAGCCAACATCCGCACACAGGCGACAGTCCACGGCGGCGTCTAGCGCTGCCCCTTCTGTGTGCCGCGTGCGTGGCGAGTCCCCGGCAGGGACAGGCAGCCCAGCGCCTGCCTTGCGACGTCAGTGGCCCCGCAGGGCCCTACCCGATCTGGATCTGCCCGGAGTACATGGTGAGGAGCAGCATGATGGTAAAGCCAGTCAGGAGGCCCAGGTTCTGGATGACAAAGGGCACCAGGGTGCTGCCGCTCCTTTCGTCCTCCTGGCAGACCTCGTTCATCTCGGGGAACTGGAGAGGGAAAGAGAAGCAAGAGCCGAGGCTCCTTGTGAGACCTGCAATCGGGCAGCTCAGCGAGCACACAACACTGCCAAGTGGGCCGTGGGGAAAAGCGACACTCGCAGAAGCCGGAACTTGCGTGCGACGCCTTTCCAGGACGGCTACCTCGACTCGACTACCCCGGGCGAACAAAGTGCTGGGCACCCTGAGGCCCTGGACGTGTTTAGATGCTGGCTGAACTCTAAAAACACTTGGAAAGATCGTTTTACTACCAAGACATTATTGCTACCTCCTGGAGAAACTAAGCAACTGTGTCAGTGGACAGAACGGAGACACAAGGTGGCTGGGATTCAAAGCCTTGTGCTACTAGGCCGGCGAGGCACGTGATGCCTCTGAGACCCAAGCGAGGCCGAGAACAGGTTCGAACCGCGCGGCGGGCTCCCGCCCGAGGAGGGAATCCAAACGTTTCCCTCGAGAAGGCTGTGTGCAGGTTCAGCACTCCAGGCAGCTCATCAAAAATATTCTTTCCACGCAAGGTGTGGCGGTGCACATCTGCAATCCCAGCACTTGGGAGGCTGAGGCAGAGGAGGATCACTGCAAGCTCAACACCAGCCTAGGCTACACAGTGAGATCCTGTCTCAAAAAACCAAAACCAAGAACCTTCCTAAAAACAAAGCCAACCCCTCAAAAATTATTTCCAACAGATAGGTAGAACTGACAAATAAATATGTATAGCAAAGCATTTTCTGTATATAGGATATAGAGGATATATACTTTAGTTTATTGAGACACGGTCTTGCCATATAGTTCAGGCATGCCTTGAACTCACTCTGTAGCCCAGGTTGGCCTCAAACTCATACTGATCCTCCTGCCTCAGCCTCCCAAATGCTGGGCTTACAAGTTTATGCCACCATGCCCAGCTATATATGAGGATATACTGTATAAGGAAAAATAATTCAGATAGGCCAATGACTACATCATGCCAACAAACAAGGAAAGGAGTCAACCTTCTCAGTTATATAAAAGATACCACCAGACAAGTTGAAAACTCAAAATCTTTAGGTGGTTCATATCAGTGGTAGGGGCAGAAGGGAGTATACAGTTTCAGATACTGCTAGCTGTTAACAGAAGAAGGTTAAGCCCTTTTGAAAAGTTATTAAAAGCCTAAAGCCAGCGTCAGTGCATGGCACATGCCTGTAATCCCAGCACTGACCAGCAGCACAGCGTCTGCCTGGCAAGTGCAAGGTCCTGAGTTTGATTCCTGATACAAAAAAAAAAAAGAGGCTGAGGCAGGAGGATCATGATCATGAGTTCATGGTTGGCTTGGTTATATAATGAGACCTGATCTCAAAAAAAGAGAGAAAAAAAGGAAAAGCCTAAAACCAGCAATTATAGCTCTGAAACTAAGGTATATCTATAAGGCTCATCAATTAGTATCTTAAAGAGGGTATTTGCAAAAAGTATGCACCATATTAGGAAAAATGAAATCAGAACATGAAACTGCATATTCAGTTTAAAAACAGACATATGCAATTCTTTGAGGTAAAAAAAGACACAGTTTAAAATGCTGCTATTGTTATTTTGGGGCACAAAAATTATGGGTTATTTTCTCTCTCTCCCTTTGTTCATGTGTTTACCTATTCTGCAGTATTTTTGAGTGTGGACCCGAGAGTTGTTAGCATCATTTCCTGTAATGATATGTGCGAACAGAAACAGGTTTTTGCCCTGTAAAGTCTGGCGTCCCAGCCAGGCCTGTGCTGTGTACTTGTAACCCCAGCTCCGCAAGGCGCAGAGCCCCGCGGGTCAGTTCCAGGCCGGTCTCGGCAATTTAGCAAGATGCTGTCTCAAAACAACAAACAAACAAACAAACAAACAAAGCCCTAAGACTAATGTGTCCTGTTGTTATTGTTTTCTTTCACTCTTTAAAGTAATACGAAAGAACCCTTAAATGGTACATCTAAAATAGATAAACATGAGGTATGTGAAAGATACTTCAATAAAGATGCTAAAAAAACCCCAAATTAACGGCTGCATGCAGGGGCACATGTCTGTAATCCCAACACTGAGGGAGGCTGAGGCAGGAAGATTCCAAATTTGAGCCCAGCCTGGGCAACTCAGGGACTTAGCAAGACCTTGTCTCAAAATAAAAAAAGAAAAGGAGAGAAAAAAACAAACAAAATCAAGGAACTAATGTTCCCTTAGCCGTCCTGTCCATGAACCTAGTAATCCGCCCAGTTTTGCCTACATGGCATAAATGCTGGCAGACTCACCATATCAGCTAGGGCAATATACAGGAACATTCCTCCAGCCAGAGCGAAAATCCAGTTGGGGGAGAAGTGGCTGCCTGCCAGGATGCCGAAGGCCAGGCCCACGTAGCAGCAGCAGGCAGAGAGGAAGTTGAAGAAGAGGGCCTGCTGGATGTTCATCCCGGCGTTGAGCAAGATGACGAAGTCGCCTAGAAGCACACACAGAGGAAGGACACTGAGTCAGAAGACAGACTCTGCCTCTGCCACGTGACAAGCGGGGCGCCCCAGATTCCACACCGGCAGGACGACACCAGGGCCCCGCTCCGGCTTCCTCATCGGGCACCGCCTCCATCTGCCACGCTGGCTGCTTCCTCCCAGCCTGCAGGCTGGAATAAGAAACAGGACTCTGGAGGCAGATGACCAACTGCAGCGGCCTCCTATCCGTTTTTCAATTGATAGCGAACTAAATGAAAAGAGCTCCCTTCCTCGCAACTGCAATAAAAGATACTTTCAGGAGATGGAGCTGAGAGGAAGCGAAGGTAGGAAATTTGGCCAGACTTATATGCCAAAAAATGGCAAATGTAAGATCTGAGCTTCCAGATTCCTGGCTTTTTACACTCTGCCGTGATAAAGCTAAGTACCTCCTAAGCCCTGGCTCAGCGGCTTCACCCTCATCCATCTGCCAGGCTTCGAACACCCACCCCAGCTTCGGAAGATTAACAGGCTTTGCGTTATCATCTTTACTGAGCACTTAGTGAGTGGTTAAGGGCGTCACTCTGCTTCTCCTTTAACCACAGGATGAGGGGTGGGCCGGGTGGACGTCTTGGAGCTGCGGGCTTACCCAGCTCGTGCGGGAACTCCTCGCACAGGATGGCCACCGAGGTGCTGATGCCTTGGAAAACAGACACGGTGAAGGAGGCCCCAATTGCCAGGCCGTCGATGAAATTGTGCAGCCCATCGCTCAGGGTGATCATCCAGGCCAGGGTGCCGATGTCAGAGTAGCGCACGCCTTTCAGCCAGTAGCAGGCGCTCTGTGAAGCCTGCAGGTCCTATGAGAAAGCACGCAGAGGGCATGGGGTGGACCACATGCCCCTTGCAAGGTGGCCCAGGCTCCCCAGGCAGTGGTGGCCACCGACCTGCACAGACAGTGAGCCCACAATGACCTTCTCGTCCATGCTGGGGTTCCTGCTGTCTAGCTCACTGCCGCAGGCCTGAGGAATCATGTGGTCCAGGTCCCCATTCTGCAGCTTCTCCGTCACGCCTTCCTCCTGGTCCTTCTTGGAAGGAAGCGTCTCCGAAGCGAAGTGGTTATGTCCGTGATGGTGCTGCAAGGGCGACAGGGATGGGTCAGGGTGAGACCCACTGACACCACTGGCCCAGTGGAACAGCTGGTCAGAGTGAGAGCTCCAGGCTCGGGGAGACGTCATTCCTGAAAAGAAAACCGGAGCAGGGCCACACAGAAACGTGGGCAAGGTGCACCTACAGCAGCCCCAGGCGTGCAGGGCAGGACTGGGTGTTAGGAACCAGGGCAGTCCCCGAGGGCACTCTCATGGAAGCGAGGTGGCCTGCTGACTACAGAGGGTTCTCCCTGTGCAGTGGCCACTTGCAGCCCATTTGGCAGCTGTGCAGGGAACAAGCTCATGCCTGGCCCTGAGGGCATTGCTATGGGACCACACCGTGGGGGTCAGGCCCGGTCTCTGTGACCTGCCACTGTGCCGCATACTCAATGATGCCTGCTACCAAGCCCTTGCCCACTGTGAGAAGATCCGAGTGTACACACAGGAGACCACTGAGAACAAGCCAGGAGGACGGACTCAGCTACTGGTTAAAGGCTCATCGGCCAGATCCAGGGTCCAGCCTCAGCTGACATCCTCACAACGTGAAATGAGACGACCTCTTCATCACACCTGTGTGCCCTCAGCTCCATGGGGGACACAGCACTGAGAGAGCAAACACACTGACATTCTCTGACCTGGGTGCCTCCCTAGAATTTTCTTGACTAACAATCGGGCCTCACCTCGTTCTTCTGCTTAAGAAGCATCTTCAAGATCTTCTCTGTAAAAAAGAAAAGGTAGAAGCCCCCAAACACCACTGCAGACTTGTGAACATAATCGTCTTCCAGAGGGTTGAAACCAAAAGCCTGTGGACGCAAGAAAAGAAAATGAACTGAAGAAAACAAAAACCTTCACTGGTTCCCTCTCATCTCTCAGTGACTTCCTTGACTCCAAGAAAGCAATCTCCTGGAATAACTGCTGCCTGCCCCAACTCTTGCCAGCACAAGCTAATCTTGATGCTCCGGATGTGACGTCACTACTGCCAGGTTCCCTCTTGCTTCTCTTCTGACGCAAAAGACACACCATATGTAGGACTTTAAACTTAGAAGAACAGCTGTGGGCACGGCTTCCTGCTTTTAATGAGGACTATCTCTTAATTTTGTTTCTCTCAGCGCTAAGCTACAAAAGCACACCGAGGCTGAATTCCACACTTGCGGAGAGGACTTTTTAGTTTAATCTTCTCGAGCAGTCCCTGGCTTTTCTGTCTGTAAACATAATGGGAAGTGGTATAATTATGCTTTCTAAAAAGGGAAATCCATGATCCGGATAAACAGAAAGAATTGCAGCATCTTCCTGACCACAGACCTCACAGGGACCACAAAGCCGAGGAAGCAGGCTACGTTCTTGTGTGTGTCAATCTGGGTGGTTCTGAAAGTGGGCATGTCGATGCCCATCTGCAGTCCCAGCTACTTGGGAGGCTGGGGAGGGAGAACTGCTTGAGGCCAGCTTGAATAACATAGTGAAACCCTGTGTCTTTATTTAAAAGTAAAACACTAGGGGAGGAGTGGCAAGCTTCCCTTATTAAAGAAGCGGGTAAATCCTTTGGGAAGAACACAGCACTGGAGACCAGAAGTCGATTATAGGTTTGGCTCCTGATTTATGGAAACAGACTTTAAATACACTCCAGCCCTCCAGGACCGGTCAGCAGTAGAAGCTGACTCTAACCCAGGGAACTCTGGGCTGTTTAAAAGGTGAGTGCTTTTCCTTTGGGTTTCAAAGGGACCAAATTCAATCATGATCCTCTGGGGTGTTCTTCGAAGAGACCTGTGTGGTGGCCAGATTCTAGAGTGGAAGCAACATGCTCAAGTCAACTTTTCAGGAGAGTTGACTCTTCCTAGGGAAGTGATTTCCAAAGAGGTAACTACCACCCCTGCACACAAAGCCCGCAAGGATAGCGGCACCCAACTGTCCGGCTTGGGTGGGTGGCAAAGGACATGGAGGCCAGGCCTTGGGAGAAGCTCTCCTCCTGTAGGTCAGAGCGCAGGAGCAAAACAGTACTTAGTGGTGCTGATCCAACAAGATCACAAAATAACACTGTGGAAAACACCAACCTTTCTGCTTTGCCCGGGCCTGCCAGGCCACCTATGGTGCTCTGTCTGATGTTTATTATAATTAACGGGTCTACCCATGATATTGCACCCTATCAGATGAAGCATCTCTGGGGCTGATGGCCAAACCTCATAGACGCTAAGCTCCCTCTCTTTTGTGGAATATTTTCTCAAAAACCTGGGCAAGGGGCAAGGGTGTGACTGATGCATGCGAGCCCAGACTGTTTCGTTCAGGTTGCCTTGGCCTCTAAACTCCATACTGAGATCCACGCACTCTGCATACTTGTCTGCACCAAAAAAAACCCACACTGAGAGCCAGAAAGTGACCTTGCTACCCTATTCTTTCGACTCAGCACTTACAGCACTTTCCAGGCACCCGGCATCTTACAAACATGAACTCACTGAGTTATCCTGAGGGTGAGCCTACTGTCTCCCGCATTTCACACAAGACAGAAAGGCGGGGAGCTCGCCCCATGCTGCAGACCCTGGAGACGGGGAGTTGGGACTTGCCCTGGCTCTCAAATTTATGTTGTGCAGCTTTGTATAGCTCCTGTCTGATTCCTGGCTTCCCTTTTCACAAGGAAGGACCCTGAATGCTCCTCCCTGTGCCCACCAGGTGAATGCAGGGTTCTCCCACTGGCCGTTGTCCCCGGCAGACGCACTGCTCTGGGGGGTGAGCCTTCTGGCTTGCCATACCTCGGGGATGAGCTGGAAGAGGGCGTTGGAGTAGAGGGTTCCAATCGCCAGAGCTATGAAGTAGAGCAGCAGCCTCTTGTAAAAGATCTTCTTCATGAAGGGCACCACGCTGGCCCCCATGAGGGAGCAGAGGGAGATGACGGTGACACAGAGGAGACCGTATCCCCACACTGCCAGCCCACCCGGGACAAGGACGGGGCAACCACCATTTAGGGGAGGAAGGTGGAGAGGACGGGGGAGGTAACAGGGAAAGTACAGGTAGGGAGGGAGAGAGAAATAGAAAATTTGTTAGTGATTCAAATCCGATAAAATTTCCTTCAATCAGTACAAGAGAAATGAGGAGGAATTTGGGGTGGCCTTGGAACCCTGTGACTACGGCCCCTGTTGCCTTTGGTGGCCTGAGCCACACTGCCAGCTGGCATGACTGGCAGGCAGGATGGGTGCCCTCGTCACCCATCTGAGATGTGCCCAGGCCCATCACAGACTTTGGGCCCGGGAGCTCTCTTTAATAAGACACAAAAGCAAATGGAAAGAGACCTTCGTCATGCTGCCCAATTCGCTTCTGCATCCAGTCTGCGTCACCAGAAACAGGTGACACAACCTGCAGGGGGCGTGGTCTATGCAAGACACAATGAAGCTAGAAGTGCAGAGAACAAGACCCAACGCCCAGAGTCATTTCTGAACTTTAGTTGTTTTTGTATTTCCATTTGCTTTGAGAGGGGCTTGAGTGTAGAGAGGAGAGCTCCAAGATCACCCCGTCACAAAATAACATGTTGTCTGGCATTTCCTCGTGGGACACATTCCGGGCTGAGAGTCCACCCCAAAGAGGGCAAGACAGACCCAGGCCAGGATGAGACACGGGAACTTCCATTCAAACAGGCAAAGAGGCATTTCATTTCAGATCTTTGAAAAATTGCAAATTCAATTTCTGGAGCTGAAAAAATAGCCTAAGATGAGGCCTCCCCCTGGGAAGTGCCCACTAGATCCTCAGGGAATTTTGAGATGGCAGCAGTGTGTTACCCTTAAATTAGGAGGGCCAGGCCAGGCAAGGCGTGAAACTCCACGCATCTTTTCTAGGTCAATCTTTCAGTTGGGCAGAGCTGGGAAGCTGCTGATGTAAGCTCTTTATGTAAGGCAGCCCCATCACTCTGGGTTGACCAGGTGTCCCCATGTTACGCCCTGCCCCCAACAGCAGCATCCCTACCCTAGAGGAAAGTGTGGGCAGGCTGTCAGCTTGGACCTTATTTTTATAGCTCCTCAGCAATGACAATTAAAAACAAAATTACTGACATTTTACAACAGTAAAAGAAGGGTCCCAGGAAGTCAGCCCTCTCAGGAGGTGGCCAAGATGCAAGGTACCAAGGATCCCTGCTCCTTCGATTTCTTTTTCTGTTTTGCAACACTGGGGATTCAACTCAGGGCCTTCACACTGAGCTCCATCCCCAGCCTTTTTTTTCGTGTTGAGAAAGGGTCTCGCTAAGTCACTAAGTTGCCCAGGCTGAGCTGGAACGTGTGATCTTCCTGCCTCAGCCTCCCAGAGTGCTGGGATGACAGGCGTGAGCCACCACAGCTGGCTTGTTTTGTATTTTTAACTTTGTTTTTGTCAAATGGTCTTTGTTCTAGTTCTGCTCTGAAAGCCACAAAAGATGGCTTGCTTAAAAATAAGGGTCACCTTACTTTTAGGCTATTCTATGTGTCTATTTTCTCCTCACTGTATTCAAGATGGATAATCCATTGGCACCCAAGACAGATACTATGGTTTTCTTCAAACTAGAGGGCAGGCCACAGGCCCATCCGCTGCATGCTCCCTTGGGAGCTCTAGGAGGGACTAAGAGATCCCTAGCTGGGAACAAATGCTAGGAACCTTGCATCTGATGTCACCCGAAGAGGCCAGAGCAACCTGAGTACCTGAGGAGAGAGAGGGGGGCTGATACCCCAAGGGAGAAATCATCAGTGGCCCCTGGTCTGGGGGCCAGTTTGTGTTTCAGGTGGTGGTCGCCAGGTGCCTTAGTGCACAGGGGAGGGGCCCTCAGCCAGGGGGCTCAGTGGTGGCGCGCATCTGTCTACTGCACCTCTGGGATGAGCTGGAAGAGCGCATTAGAGAGCAGCGTTCCAATTGACAGGGCGATGAAGTAAGTGAGCACCCGGCGGAAAAATGCTCGCTCCATGCACGGCATGACGAGGACTCCCAGGAGAGAGGCCAGGTTAATCAGCGAGACACTGAGGAAACCAAAGCCCCACACTGCAGAGGAACAAGAACAGATGGGGCCTCCATTACTGAGGGCCGGACCACTGCGAACACAGGGTGACCGGGTGGGCAGAGACCCCACTAGCGCTGTGGGGTCCGCCTCTAGTGCGGAGCTTCGGAGGACCTTCAGAAAAAGCTGCCAGGGTCACTTACCTTTTAGATGGGGACTGGAGGACCACATGGAAGATTAAATGCCACAAGTTAAACCATGACCGTGGGGACAGGACGAGGCACGACACAGCTCCATGTGCCAGGTCAGGTAGCATGTGCTGGCACCAGGGAGCTGCAAGGCAGTTGGGGCCTACGGAGCTGTGTGGTGTCTGCTCACAGACAGAGATGAGCCCACCGGCTGGAGCCCTGGGGCAAGGGGCCAAGGATGAAGCAGACCAAGTGAGGTCTTAAAAGAGTAGAAGTGGGCATGATGGAGCATGCCTACAATCCTAGCAATTTATGAGGCTGAGGCAGAAAGATTAATTGCCACAAGTTCAAGGCCAGTCTGGGTATACAGTGAGTTCAAGACCAGCCTGAAAGACACAGTGAGACCTTGTCTCAAAGGTCAAGCCCCTTGTGGTTTAAAAAAATAAAAATAAAAAGTAGGTAGCCAGGTGTGGTGGTGCATGTCTGTAATCCCAGCACTTGGGGAAGCTGCAGCAGGAGGGTCCCAAGTCAAAGCCCAGACTAGTCTGAGCAACTTAAAGAGACCCTGAGTCAAAAAAAAAGGTGGAAGTTGGGGACATGGCTCAGTGCAAAGCCCCTGGGTTCAATCACTAGTGCCCCTAAAAGCAAAAACAAACAGAAAAACCCAAAGTCCAGCCCTCTGAGCGCTCACCAGCCGTGCTGACCTGGGCCTTGCAATGCGGCAGAGCAGTCGTGTGAACACAGTGTAACAAGCAGCACCTGTCACTCTCCCGTCCCCTCCATGACCAGCGCTACACCACTGGTGATCCACATGCCAGTTCCCACTCCTCCCTCGCTCACCTTCCAGGGAGCTCGGCTTCCCCTCCTCCGTCTGCTCGTTCTCCTCGTTCTCCTGGTTCTCAGCCGAGCAGGCCCGTGAGTCCAGCTGCTGTAGGACGGTGGGGCAGAATTCCTGCAACTCATTCCTCCCAATCCTTGACTCATTGCTGAAATTGTGGGCAGCGAAGAGGTCTTGGGAACTAAAGCACTGGAACAAGATGGGCGAGAGAGCCATGAAACCACAAAGCCCAGGGCTCCCCTGCTACCGCCCTTCCCAGAGATAATAAGACGGAAATGGTAAAGCCCAAGAATTCTGGAGACACACCCCTAAGGAAGCACCTAAACCTGAAAACCTCACCAGTGCTCTTAGCGGTCAGCCACGCAGGGAGGTCACACACACTAAGCACATGCGTCTGGAAGTGGCTACTGGGAGCAGTTTTAGAACAACCAGATTCCAGATCATGGTGACGGGATGTGGTTTTAGGAAAACATGCTCTATTCGCATAGCTGAAGATACAAGCTCCATCTGGATTACCAAATCTGGGTGCCCCTCTCAAATGCCAGGGAGCTGCTATGTTAAGATGCAGACTCCAGAGCGTCCCTTTGCACTAGCATCTGTAGGGGTGGGGCTACCCTCAACCTTCAAGCTGAAGATATATGACAGAGGGAGGGGAACGAATATCTGAAGATTCAGAGCCAGCTACTGGGCAAGTTCCGGCTGGCCAGCGGATACCAGCACCCAGCCACCTTGAGAGGTATTTCATTGGCAAGCAGCTCTCACATACCATTCCTGGGGAATGCTGCAGTTTTACTAATTATACTTTATCCACACTCTGAGCTTGTTAAGGCTATCTCTGAGAATCAGCCCTCAAGGTGTGCTGACAACTGAAATTTCTGGGCCAATACAGGGAGGGCTGGAGTCTGGTGACCCCAGGACACTGCTGCTGCCCCGGCAGGACCCACATGGATGCCGCTGTACTGCCCCCTGGCACCAATGTTGACTTGGGGATTTTCCACACCCAGCTGGATCTGCACCCCTGCCAAATGGTCCCCTTGCCTGCTTTCCTGTGCCGAACTACTCATCCTTCAAGAAATTCAGTTCTCAGACAGCCCAGGGGTGAGCCTGAATCCCAGTTTCTGTCCAGCCACAGAAGGTAACGCTTCATTTTTATTCCAGCTACCTCTGAGCTCCCCATCTTGACAGCAACCTCTTTAAATATGACTCATGTTTCTGTTTCCCATAACACTCAGCGCAGGGAGCAAAGCAAATATATAAAGATCCTGCCGGCTGGCTCATGTCTGGCTGCCACAAATAGCCTCAGACTTGGACCAGTCAAGAAGATAGGAAGAAGGAGCACAGAACTAGTTGCCAGAAGACCTGGAGAGGTTTTCTGGGTGCTGGTCCTGCTCCTTCAGGAACTCCCAGAGGGTGCTCAGTGTTCTGTCTTGGAAGAGAAGAGAATCCCTCTTGTACCTGGCATATCATGCATGCGAGGGGCTTAGGGAAATGTTAAGCTCTGCTGGAAATGCTGTGCTGGGAGCCATGGCTTAGCAGCAGTTCCCGTGATCCTGGCATACCCCCGAAGGATGGGGAGAGGCTGAGAACCCCACTTCCTAGTGGCCCTTTGCGAGGGCTTCAAAGCTCCATGCAGGTCTAGAGATGCTGCTAAAGACACAGGCTATGCCAGTTTACACAGCTGGTGATAAGAACCTGCCTGCTTGCGGTCACCTGCCCGCCCCATCCTATCAAGCTGCTCACCCACCCTGAGCCCCACCAGACAAGGACCTGAGAGACCACAGGCCGTCCTGGCCCAGAGGGAGCCTTACCGTGGAGAGGTTCCTGTGTCCCTGTGCATGCTGGGTGACGTTATCGCGGCCCACTCCCACATCCAGGTGGTTGAGCAGGGCCTTCAGCTGCGGCAGGGTGAGGCTGTCGCCCTCACCATAGCGCTGCATGAGGTTGTCCAGGAAAGAGGCTGCACTGACGGGCGGCTGGGCTGCAGACCTTGCCAGTGCCTGGGGAGCAGCGCTGCAGGTGAGCAAGGCCAGCAGAAGGCAGCTGGGCAGGGCTGGGTGCAGCAGCGTCATGGTGACCAGGTTCACCTGCAGGACCACAAATCTAGGTGAAGGAGCTGCCTCGCCTGCTCCTGATCCATGCCAAGCGTGAGGGGGGTGTCCCTTGACACCCTGAATCTGGCTGGCACCAAGATGTGACTTCAGCCCTTCTCTGCTCCCTCTGCTGATCCTTAAGAAACTTTTCTTTTAAAGGAAATAGGGTGAGCCAGGTATGGTAGCACACATCTATAATCCCAGCACTCTGGGAGGCTGAGGCAGGAGGATTGCAAGTTTGATCCCAGCCTGGGCAATTTAATGACTTGGTAAGATCCTGTCTCAAAAGAAAAAATATAAAAGGACTGGGGATGTAGCTCAGTGCCAAGGCCCTGAGTTCAATCCTCAGCACCACTCAAAGAAAGTGGGGGAATGGTTGGAGAAACATTAAGAAAAAAAAAAAAAAAATCAAACTCCAAAGGTTTGACTAAATTTAGAAGAAAAAAAGGGGGTCTGGGGTATGTCATTCAACTTTGTTTTGGGGGCAGGCAGTACTAGGAATCGAACTCAGAACCTTGTACTTGCCAAGCAGGCAGAGCTATATATATCCCCAGCCTGTAGGGGTCTGGGGTATGGCTTAACAGTACAAAAGTCTAACATGCGTGAGACCCTAGGTTCCATCCTTACCACTACTACATATGAATCTATAAAGGTCTTATCTTTTAGAGATCCTGAAATAACCATGGATTAAGTGCTATGGCACCTGGACTTGCTTCAAGCTAATAAAGGAGGAGGAGTGCAGGGAGACACTGAGCAGGCGGAAGCAATTGTTAAAATAAGTGACGGGAGATCAAGACTCTTCTGTCTATCGTGCATGTCTGAAATTCCTCAAAGTAAATAAAACCATAAATACTATAAGTAGGGGGCTGGGGATTTAGCTCAGCGGCAAAAGCGCCTGCCTGGCAAGCGCAAGGTCGTGAGTTCGGTTCCCGGTACCGGAAAAAAACCAAAAACCAAAAAAAAAAAAAAAAAAATACTATAAGTAAAAGAAAAGAGATAGGATTTACCCTAATCAAAGAAATTAAAAAATAAGAAGGCCTGGTACACGCCTGTAATCCCAGCATTTGGGAGGCTGAGGTAGGAGGATTGCTGCAAATTCAAGGCCAGCCTGGATCGCAGAGTGAGACCCTGTCTCAAAAAAAAAAAAACAGGAAAAAGTAAACAAAAAGGCCACGGCCAGGATGCTGTGCTGTCGTTAAGTACACTGTATCCCTGACAAGCGCAAGGTCGTGAGTTCGGTTCCCGGTACCGGAGAAAAACCAAAAAAAAAAAAAAAAAAAAAAAAAAAAAAAAGTACACTGTATCAATTTCGCAGGTTACTGTATGGACAGAAACAATTAGAGTCCGGGACAGAATATTCATTAAAAAAGGAAAATCATGCAGCCACGGGAAGAACTGAAAAGCAGCACAGAGAAACAAGAGCTTAAAGTAGCAGAGCTACTGCTGATCTTTTCATTAATCATTTGCTTCCCTTCATGAGGTTGAAATTTAATTTTAGTGACATAAGCAAATATCCGGAGTGGAAAATGCTCCTTGGTCCAGACTGGAAGAACTCAGCCCTGTCAGTGGGTCCCTCCCAGGCACCAAGACGCAGCCCCTGCCTCTGTGCGTCACCCTCTGGGTCTTTGCTTTTGATGGGAATAGATCGGAGTGGCTAGGAACTGAACTCCGGCCCTGCCGGTTCTGGACAGTGTCACCTTTGGTAACTTATTTAGCCAGAGACAACACAGAATGACCCAGGGCAGCCGTGTAGATTACCGCAGCCAGGAGTGTCGACAGACAGGGCTTGACTTCCCATATCCACACCGCAGTGTACTCGGCCTCCCTCTTCCTCAGTTTTCTCATTTATAAAACTGGTGCCCACCCCATGGGGTTACTGTGAGGACTTCAATGGCGCACGCTATGGAAGAGGGACGCCCAAACTCATGGGCTCAAAATCTGGCAATAATGATGCTGACAGCAGGATTTCCAACTTCACCAGTCTCCCCAACTTCCCAAATTTACACTCAGCTCCAATACTAAGCTGCTAATGCACATGTTAGGAAGTCCATGTGGCTAACTTCACATCAATTAAACTGGTCCCAGTTCCAGGCCTGTCCATACACATCATGGCTTAAGCCCCCTGCCACTATACAGTCAGGGACATCCGGGTTTTAGCTCCTACACATGTGTCATGCTCAGAACCTGCGACACACACACAAGGTCACTCTTCGGCAGAATATACTTTGTGTTGCAAGAATGGATGGACAGATTGGGCACCAGCAGAAATACTGGGATAGAAAAGTGCTACTTTGAGACTTTCAAATCTCCACTCAGAGCCAAAAGTTAAACGATGGTGAAACAGTGGATTTTAGGCAAACATTAAAACCCACGTACAGAGAATGCGTCACCTCCCACCTCTCACAGCCTTGTCGGTAGGTGTGTGCGGTGCTGTCAAAGTGGGCAGAGGAGGTTGGCGGGGGTGGGGGGGCCCGCAGAGGAGAGGCAAGGACATGATGGACAGCGCCTGGCACTCACCAAGGGCCAACCTTGCTGAGCACTTAGAACTCATTGTTTCCTTTAAAAGAAGTTGGGAAACTTTACCTCACCTAACCGATAAGGGAGCCAAGGTTCAGAGATTAGGAGATGCGCCTGCAGCCAGCACAGCCAGAAATAGACTCTTTCATGAAGTGAAGCCAGGGCTGGATGACACCGACGTGTGGTCCTCGGCATTCAGATGTAAAACGTGCCCCGGATGCCACGGGCAGCCACAAGGTCTGCAAGCCTCTGGGCAGAGCCGACCATTTCTATCCACACGCAGGTCCCGAAGAGCTGATGGGGAGCCCTCAAGATGCCTTAGGGGCCACCCTGAACTCCAGGTGCCTGCAGTATGAGCACAGAGCAGAACAAACGCCTGTACCCACTTTCAACCTGCTCCTCACGTTTATCTGCAGCAACTTCAGAACACGGAAAACACCACACAAAAACTCTTCCAGTGCAGGCAACGTGGATGAGCACCCACCTAGGAGTGAGCGCTGAGAAGGGCTTGCCGTCCACTGGCCCAGAGGCCCTTGCATGGTTGCCAGGACAGCCTGGAGCCCTAGGGAAGAGGCAGGTCTGGCCCTATGATGAAAAAGATGAGTGAGGCCGGGTATGGTAGTGCAGACCTGTAATCTCAGCACTCTGGGAGGCTGGGGCAGGACTGCAAGTTCCAGGTCAACCTGGGGCAATTCAGCAATTCAGTGAGACCCTGTCTCAAAAATTAAAAAAGTCTTGGGGACGTTGCTCAGTGTGAAGACCCTGGGTTCAATCCCCAGGGCCACACAGAAGAGAGGGGAGGGGAGGGGAGGTGCGGAGGGGAAAGAAGAGAGACAGACAGACAGACAGGGGAGCAAGCCACAGAGCCACCTTTACTTCTCCCAGTGACCGTTGCTTTCTCTCCCTGCCAGCATGGCTGCTCTTGTCTGTAAGGGTTAGGGTTTGGTGCAGCCACAGCAGTGTCAGAGCTCAGTGAGCTCCACATACCCTAGGAGAGCGCAGCTGGAGTCCTGGGGCCGAGCTCACACGGCCCTGAGGACACTTCAAACCCAAGCGAGCCAGGACTTTGGCAGACACGAAGGGGAGCTTTCTGCTCCAGTGGGGACTTTTTTTTTTCCTTCTTCACTGTAAGTTATTCTTAGCTAAAGAAAAAAGTTTATAAAAGATTCTTTGGCAGAAAGAAGAGAGGAAGAAAACAGATTGTTCTTGCCGTGGCTGGGAAGGTGAGGCGGGAACAGGTCCTGGTTGCCAGCCCCCCGCCCCGGGCCACTGCACTCCAGCCCCCCAAGGCAGCCAAGCGGTGCCCAGTCCAGACTTGCCAGGGGTGCTAGGGACAGGGAGACGGGGTGGGAGAGGAGAGGGAAGATGACAAAGGCTCAGACCACCAGGCGCTTCCTGCCGCAGAGAAGCAGGGTCTCACCGCCTCTGCGCCCTTGCAGGGTCCGAGGAGGAAATGATTCCAGCACCTCAGGTTGGTCTCTTGATGCCAGGCCAGGCCCAAGTTTGGGCAGGAGAATGAAAGATACAGAAAGTCAACAAGCCAAGCTGCTTGTTCCAGAACCGTCTATGGGGCTATAGATGTTTCCTTGCCATCCTAGGGGCTCTGAAATTAGTATCCCACCTGCTGTCACAGCTTCACTGGGTCTAGAAGCATTTTATCCACAAGCTGCAGTTCTGTTCTGTGGGCAGAATGTTTTACCACACTTTTTTTCCCTAAACCCACCTCCTTTCACAGACCCTCCTTACACTCCGGCTTCCGGGCTGGCCAGGGTGCTCTCCTTCCCCTCGGGACCCTCACCAGAGCCCTATACCTTCACAGCTGTGAGCTACATAAACTTCTTTTCCTTTTGAAATACTCAGCCTCATGCATTTCTTGATAGCAACACAAAAATAGAGTGGCCGGGGATACAGCTCAATGGCATAAGCGCAAGGTCATGAGTTCGATCCCTGGTACCAAAAAACTCAAACAAACAAAAAATAGAAAGGTGGACTAATACGAAATACACTCACAGAGTTTTATGAGTATTGTAAGACAAAATATGTTGAAACACCATATAGATTTAAGATGGAGAATTGAAATGACAGAATTCTCCTCCTGCGGATAGTAAGCAAAATGAATTACAAGAAAAAAGGTAAGAAGCAAATACATTCACCGACAGCCAACAAGTAGGGAAGCGGGCGTAAGCAGATATTCACTTCAAAGCCAGAGGGAAAGAAAGCAACGAAGGCAGCACCACGTGCTACTCAACTCCTACCCCGGCCCAATCCTGACAGCCCAAATGGGAACCAAATGAGAACTCTCATGAAGGCCCCCAAATCTGCCAAGAGGCAAACTGCCGCCCAGTCTCTCCTCCTCAGCTGAGGAGTGGGAAAAGCTCCGGGAGCCGGGGAGGTACAGGAACAAGAACATAAGGCTTTAGCTGGGCATGGTGGTGCACATCTGTAATCCCGGCACTGGGGAGGCTGAGGCAAGAGGATCATCAGAAGTCTGAGGCCAACCTACACTACATAGTGAATTCAAGAGCAACCTAAGCTACCGCAAGGAGACCCTGTCTCAAATGCTCCCCTGCAAAAAAGGCCGACTCTCAAGGGAAACCAGGGCTCCAGGGCCACATCTGTGACTGGGAAAAGTAGCCAGTTCCAAGGAATATTCCTTCCTTCCCTTCCTAAAGCAATGGAATCCACCTCCCAAGTAAATGCACTGAACCACCCCACAGGGACCACTTACACCTAATCTCTGGCAGGGGGTGGCTGAGGTGGGGACAAAGCAGCCGCAACCCTGTAAGAGGAAAGTTACTTATTTTAGCGTCAGAAGAATGTTTAAGCAGAGAAGCACCAGCATGAACCAGGTGGGAAGTAACAGCTGCAAAGGAGCAGACAGACAGGCGGACCTACAGGAATGTATGATCCTGAAAGGAGCTCCACCTGACTGCTGCAACTCCAATAACTTCCCTAGACAGTGACTTAATGACCCCAGACTGTAAAGATGAGACCCACAAGAAATGAGGAGCCAGGTGTGGTGGTGTACCCCTATCATCCCAGCACTTGGGTGGCTGAGGCAGGAGGATCAAAGCAAGTTCAAGGCCAGCCTGGGCGACATAAGTGAGTTCAGGCCCAGCCTGCACTATAAAATAAGTCCCTGTCTTGAAAGAAAGAAAGAAAGAAAGAAAGAGAAAGAAAAAGAAAAAGAGAAAAGGGGAGATGCAGGCCTGAAAAGGAAAACATGAACCGAAAGACATCACTGGAGAGCTAGTGCATTATAATGGACAGAGAACAAACCTCTGCGTCATTTGGAATTTGGAATGGAGATACTGACAAAGGCAAGTTCTGAGATAGCCACAGAGAGCTCCGATGGAAAAGGCCGGTAACAGCAAAGCACAGCAAACACACCAGACCCACGGACTGAGGGAAGTGTTCAAGGTACCATGAGATCTCCGTGAAAGGGGAAACGAATCCGAAGATGGAAATAAGTGCTCTACTCTGTAAGTGCTCAAGATTGAGAACTGCCCAGCTCAGCTACTCATGTGAGACATGTTCAGGTAGCCAGAAGACATATGGCTTGGTTTCTGTTTTTGGTGTTTTTCTGTTTTTTGTTTTGATTTTTTTAAAACCGGGTCTCACTATGTAGCCAGGCTGGCCTTGAACTCATGGTGATCCTCCTGCCTCACAGGATTACAGGCGTGTCACCACAGCCGGCTGCTGTTTTGTTTCTTGTTTCTGTTTCTGGGTGCTGTGGGTTGAACACAGAATCTTGAGCATGCTAAGCACGTGCTGTACCACTGAGCTACAACTCCAACCAGAAGTTCTTCCCGTCCCAAAAACATTTATTGTGAAAGTGGAAGAAAATTCAGACTATCTTCACCCTCCCCAGAGCAACACCCAGCGTAAGATAATTCAAGAATATCCTCATGATTCTAAGGGGAAGAAAGCATGGACCAAGAATATTATCCTTAGCCAAAATTCAATGCAAATTTGGTCAAGGTTTTTTTTTTTTTTTTTTAAATTTGAGGCTGGACTCGAACTTGCGATCCTCTTGTACCTCAGCCTCCCAGAGTACTGGGATTACAGGTGGGCACCACCACTCCCAGCTTTAAATCTGGTAAACACTGACAGAGATTCTCCAGCATGAAAGATGTCAGAGAATACAGGTAGAAAACTTGTCTTAACAATGAAACACAGCTAAGTAGTACCAAAATAAAGAGCTCAGGAATACAGAGACCACATAAGAGGGGGATGGTAAGCATTAAAGTCCTCTAAATAAGAAGTAATTAAACATCATTAATTATGAGGATTATGGTTACAGGACATAGTCTATATATTATAAAATGAGCAATTGAATAATATAATTAATACAATCAGGATGTGGAAGGAAGCAGATGAGAACAAATGTCAAAATTCTTACACCCTCATTTTTCATAGCAAAGAGTCAACAGATACTGTCTGAAAAGAAAACAAGTAACTCACAAGCTATTTGCTTAACTGGGCAGGAAATTATCTCTTGTGAATAACACCTTTCTTTAAAGCTTAATGCTCTTTTTATTTTTATGGCAGTTTTTTCTTCCATTGTATTCACAGAAATTATAATGCTTTCCCATACAAGTATTCCTGCCTATTTCTCTGTATTCCTTTTTGTGGGAATATGGCTGCAGAGTACGTGGAATAATGTTCACCTAATGCAAAGAATGGATGTATTTGCGGGATAGAACTGAAGCATGAAATTTTTTTAAAGTTTTTTTTTTTTTTTGGTACTGGGAATTGAACTCAGGACCTTGTGCTTGCCAGACAGGCACTTGTGCCACTGAGCTATATCTCCAGCCCTTCATGAAATGGTTTTGATTTTGCTTTTCTTTGATGGAGGAATGGAGCTGCTGGGAATTGAACCCAGGGATGTGTGCATGCTAGGCAAGTGCTCTACCACTGAGCTACCTTTAATCCCCCATCCTGGCTTTGTTTTCTTTTACTATTGTTGTGTCCCAACCGAGGCTCAGGGCGCAGCAGAGAACAGGGTGGTTGGAAGCACTTTCCCAACATGGCACAAAACCTGGGACCCAGAGATACAATCATGGCTACACCTGACTCCCAAATCTGCCCCGTGTTGTACCATACTTCATCAGAATAGTCTTGATATTCACGGTCAGTCTCACAACGAAACAGTCGTCTGTATAGTCCTAAGGTCTGCAATTAGAAAATCAGCAGCCTCCAACCACCGAGAGGCTTCTCTGGGGTTCAAAGAGCTTAGAGAAAAAGTATCCAGCCTCCCCCATCCCTTCTCTCATGAACATCATCCAAGAGGTGAAACCTTCACCCAAGCAAAGAGCAAATATTAGTTTGAAAACCAGCCCTTGCCTGGGCAGCCCAGACATTCAATGGGTCCATTCTTCAGCTTCTGCTTCCTCTGCGCTCCCACCTCACCGCTCTCCTGCACACCCTACAAAGATGCATTCTCTTTTCCCAGGCCCGGAGCCTCCGGCACTGGCGCTGCCACAGGCCACGTAGGACTGGAGATTTCCATACCATGCAGGAGGTTGTGGGCAGGGCCCCTTAGCAGGGAAACCTCCTGCTCCTGGGAGGGGCAGGATGGGAAAATTTTTTAAAAACTCAGTGGTGTCCAGGAGCAGGGAAGAGAATTAGAACCAGCGCCCTGCTGTTCATCAGCCAATATTTACTGAGCCCTCTGTGTCAGCACCAGGGGGAGGAGGTTAGGAGGCCACAGACTGCGGCCAGGGCCCGCGGCCCAGCAGACAGGCCTGAGAAGGCTTCTGTAGCCCCATGCTGAGCCCGGGAGGGAGGAAATGGCGCATTCCCCAGCTCCGGCCCAGCTGCAGAGCCTGCGGGAACACTGGGTGTGCAAGAGTTCCTGAGTCAGGCAGGCGGCAGGCAGGGAAGGGGCCCAAGGGACCTGCCAGCTCCCCACCCCACCCAGGCCGGGAAAGAGTCACCCCTCTTCTCATCATGTGTCCATCATCAATTCCCAGACACCCGATTGCGAAAGTCTGACCTGCTGTGCCTCGCAGTTGGCTACTGTCTGTCAGACCCCAGGGTCCAGCGCGGCTTAGGGAACGAGGTGCCGCTCACATCTGCCACTTACGCCACCCACTTGAAGCAAAATTCCCCGGCTTGTTATTCAGGGTCAAATAAATAAACAGCGTGTTCTAGTGGCTTGCTGAGACAGCATGACAACTTAGAGAGACCTGGGTTCAAATGTGGGACCTCACTGTAACACCTCACGTGTCCCCAGCTCTGTCAAAGTGTGAAATGACCAAGCTCCACGGCCACCGCAGACAAGGCTTCAGGGACACACAGTACAGCACTTTAGGTCAGTCAGTTCCTCCCTGGTTTCTTAACTCCTTGTGATAATGCTCTTGCCTGGTCCTGAACGGTGCTCTCAGAGCTCATCTCAGTTACCTCCTCTTTCAGGAAGCCTTCCTGGACTACTCGTAGCACTTTTTTCCCACTACACTGGACACCTAATTACCTCGTCTCCTTGGAAATTCCCTAACTGGATTTTTCTTCCTTAAAAGCAGAGGTCATCTGCCCCAACACAGGCCTGGCACACTGCTGGGCACAAGGGACTGGAAGCAGAAAATTTCTACTGGAACATGAGAAGTTTAACTTCTCTAACTGACATCAGCACGGCTGCTACAGCCTGATGAAGAGAGAGCCCAGCACCTGGGACCACTCCATCCTCCTGGGACCCATGGGCCAGGTCTGCCCCTGTCACCTGAAGTCAGCCGCCAGCACCATCTACTATTCCATCTTCCAAATAATCCTCTAACCTTGAAGTTCATTTACCCTAGACTAAAGCTAGCTTACATATACCAGACTTTTTGTTGTTGGTGTTTTTTGTTTTTTGTTTTTTTTGAGACAAGATCTCACTATGTAGCTCAGGTTGACTATGAACTCACTATGTAGTCCAGGCTGGCCTCAGACTTGCAGCAATCTTCCTGCCTCAGCCTCCCAGGTGCTGGGATTACAGGTGCACACCACCACACCCAGCTATACCTACTATATTTAATATGCAATCCAACCGAAGTGTGGTGGTGGTACATAACTGTAATCCCAACAGTCTGGGAGACTGAGGCAGACGGATGGCAAGTTCAAGCCCAGCCTGGGCAATTTACTTAGATCCTGTCTCCAACTTATGAATGGATGAAGACGTGGGGGTCTTTTTTACACAATAGACTACTACGCTGTCATAAAGAAGGATAAGTTTGAGGCATTTCTAGCTAAATGGATGTATATTGAGACCATACTATTAAATGAAATAAATCCGACACACGTTTAAGTACTGTGTTGTTTTTCTAGTGTGAGAAACCAAAACAGTAAATAAGAACCAAAATGTATAACAGATATTGGGAAATGGGAAGAAAATGTTCAGATGAGAAAGGGAACAAGAGAGGGAGAGAAAGAAAGAAAAGGGACAAGAAAAAAGAACAGAAGGAAAAAATGGAAACAAAGCTTTTGTAAATAAGGAGGGCAGGAGGGGTTGAAGGGAGGGGAGGGGAATAGGAAAAAAGAAGCAGCAAGACAGATCACGTACAGGTACAAATTCCCTGTGATGAATGTGATTATTATGTCTATGTAAAATGCGCCACTAAAATTGTTTTAAAACACACAAAAAAGAAAGAAAAAGAAATAGCCAGGTACAGTGGTACACATCTGCAATCCCAGCACTTGGGAGGCTGAGGTAAGAGGACCGTCAAGATTTCAAAGCCAGCCTGAATTACACAGCCAGACCCTATCCTGGGGAAAAAAAAAAAAAAAAAGAAAGGTACACTAGCATCTGGTGGCAGAGGCATGCAGTCCCAGCACTCTGGGAGGCTGAGACAGAGGATCACAAGTCTGAACCTAGCTTGGGCAACTTAAAGGAGACACGTTCTCAAAATACAATAGTAAAATTAGGCTGGGCTGGGGTACACCTCAATGCAAAGGTCCTGGGCTTAATCTTCAGTACTGGGGGAAAAAAAAAAAAAAGGAAATGCCTCACTGGAAGAGTTCATTCATTCAACAAATACTCATCGCCTGCAGACTGGGGCTTATTCCAGTCACCCCAAACCTTCCCTCACACAGCAGAGAACTCACCCGAGAGAGGACGGCAAGGGAGGCCTGACCGTGAGTTGGCCTGGGTGATGTACGCAGAGGCGGCTTCTGCAGGATATTAATGGCCCGGAGGTGCAAAAGCAGCGCGAGCTCCTGGGCTCTCAGGCTGCTCCCAGGATCACGTTGCAGAACTGGGCTGCCAGGGAACTGCAGCCTCTCCTGCCACCGGAGAGCAACTGCATGAGGAAGCCGCCCGCTCCTGAATTATGCTACCCTGCCGGGGCCACGCCAGCAAAGGGGATGTCCCGGGATCGATCCCGAGGGGGTGGCCAGCCTCTTCCCACCAGCCTGCAGTGACCACATCTAATTGGCAGAATCTGAATCCCACTGGGAATTTTACAGCAAGAATATCTGGAAAAAGTAAGTTTTTGGAATTTTTTTGGTTTGTGTGTGTGTACGTGCTAGGAATCAGACCCAGAGCTGGCAAAGGCTAGGCGAGCTACACTCACAGCCCTGGCACATCCAGCTTTCGATCTTCTTCTACCTTTGGAAGGGTGGGGTCTAAGTCAGTACCCGCAGGAGGTGCTATTTCAGAACAAGCCAGGACCCCAGGAGGAACCCGGGTTACCTTAGTGTGGACAAGCAGGGAACAAACGAGCTGGCGGGTACCATCCACTCTCAAGTGTGTCAGGCTGAGCGCGGGGAGTGACAGGGAACGCAGCAGGCAGGAGAGGTGGCGTCGGAGGTCACAGTGGCTCCCCCAGTAAACTGTTCCAACTGAGACCTGCGAGATGTGAAAACATGAGTCCAGTGAAGGGGATGCAGGGGTTGTGGGTATTCCAGGATTCCCAACTATGTTTGGAGACTTGGAAGCTGAGCATGGTGGCGCATACCTATAATGCCAGCACTTGGGAGGCTGAGGCAGGAAGACTGCCACAGGTTCCAGGCCAGTCTGGACTATGTACATAGTGAGACTGTCTTTAAAAATAAATAAAATAACATGGAAAGCAAAACGAAAAACATTTGGAGACTCAGAGAAGATGGCACAGGTTAAGAACTTCGTGTCCACAGTGGCTTACGTAAGGACCTGCAGGGAGAGAAAAACGGGCTACTGGGGTGGGGCAGGGACCACTCTGTGGGCCATGAGAAGGTGGCTGGACTTTACCCAGGGGGCAGGGAGGTCGTTTTTAAGAAGAAACATGATCCAGTGTCGTTTGCTTGTTTTTGCAGTGCTGGGGATCGAACTCAGAGCCTTGCGCATGCCAGGCAAGCGCTCTGCCACGGTCACACCCCCAGCCTGGTGGTTGTTTGGAGAACGGCCAGGAACTGGGGGACCAGACCGGAGGCTCCCCAGCTGTCCAGGTAGAGACTCAAAAGCAATGCTTCTTCCTGCCGGCTCTGGGCTCCACAGCAACCCAGCCTGGCTTGCTGGCCCTTCCCTCTGGGAAGGAGAACGGACAGGTCCCTTGTCAGAGGATACAAAGCAGAGCTTAGTAAAGACCACCCCACCTGGATGTGGTGGCGCACGCCTGTAATCCCAGCACTCGGGAGGCTGAGACAGGAGGTTTGCTGGGAGTTTGAGACTAGCTAGGGCTACAGAGTGAGTTCAAGGCCAGCCTGACCTTCACATTGACAGCCTGTCTCAAAAAAGACTACAAAGACCACTACCATCTATCTGAGTGCTGTGACAACGGTGCTCAGCTCTCCTGCTGTACAGGTGGGCCGCCTGGAAACTCCAGCTCTCCAACAACACTGTGGGCAAAACACAACCCAAGGGCACCTGGCCCCACTGCTTGGCTCGAAGGCAGGACTCTTTGCTCCTGGCCTCCGACCTTGCAAGCCAGCTCTCGCCCCGCTCCTCGGCCCAGGCTCCCAGCTCCAGTCTGGCTGGGCTCCAGTCTGAGATGCCAAGTTGTGTTTGATCACATCTCCAGGAAAGTGGCTTTCGCAGGAAAGTATGGCCCCAGGACAGCAGCATCGGGGACCTGTTCCTACACCTCTCACGCCCCCAGCCCAACTAACTCAGAACCCCAGGGCTCAGCAACATGGGCTTTAATCAAAGCACCAGTGTGATCAAAGTGCACCCTAATGCCTTAAGTCTGCAGCTCTTGGTGATGCAGCCAGACCTTATGCTCCATTTAAGACTCCAGAACCAAAGGCAAAAGAAGGGAAGGTGGGTGTAGTGGTGCACAACTGTGCACAATCCCAGCCCTAGGGAGCCTGAGACAGGAGGATCACCTGCCTCAGTTTGAGGCTAGCTTCGATTACATAGTGAGTGCCAGTTTAGCCTGAATTACACAGTAAGACTCTGATTAAAAAAAACAAAAATAGAAAAAAGAAGAAAAGAAGTAAAAGCAGGAGCTACTTACTATCCAAGCCAGGTGTGGCGGTGCATGCCTATAATCACAGCACTCACGAGGCTGAGGCAGGAGGATTGCCTTGAGTTCAAGGCCAGCCTGGGCTACATAGTGAGTTCAAGGTCAGCCTAAACTGCATAGTGAGACCCTGTCCACCCCCACCAAAAAAAGAACTACTGTCCAAGCCAGATGTGGTGGCACATGCCTATAATCCCAGTACTCAGGAGTCTGAGTTGGGAGGATTGCTGTGGGATCCTTGAGGCCAGCCTGGGCCACAAGTGAGTCCAAGGCCTGCTTGAACTCTATAGTGAAACCTGCCTGAAAAAGACAAAAAAATAAAATAGCTACCGTCCAGCCCCTTGCACCCAGGAGCCGGCCTTCCTGTGCAGTCACCAGCGCTGCTCACCAGCGCTGACCCCAACCCAGCAGGAAGACAGGGGCAGTACCTGGGCTTCCGACGTCTCAGTGAGCCGCAGTATTTATCAACACATATATCAATAATAAATGAACCCAACCCTCAGGAGAAAGGTCACTGAAGAAAAGAGAAGGGAAAAACCCCTTACTTCCAATTGGGCAAGAAAGGTGGCGGCGGGGGAGATTGAGTAATCCCATTCATGAATCATAATTCCTCTGGTCTCCCCTGGTTTCCCCTGTGCCGTCCCGGCCTCCTACGCAGCAGTCTCCAGCCAAGGTCACTGGCAGCCCTGATCTGGTTACTGAGGCAAAGGCCTGCGCGGGGCTCATGTGAGCCACCCACTGCCTACGACTGCAGGCTTCACGGCTGCCCACTGCCAGGCTGCTTGCGCCCGCCACCCGCGTCTTCTCTGCTGTCCCCACCCAGCAGCTCTCACATCACCCCTGCTCCACTGAAGACCCACCCCCACTGCCCTCCATCCCGTAGTACTACACACCTGAGCTCTGCCCAGGGCCAGGGCGCTCACCTCGTCTGCCACCGCTTGCCCCGGCCCCACTGCAGCCCACGCCGCCATCCCCCCCTCCCAGAGCTCTGGGTGCTTGCTCGAGAGGGAAGGGGCTTGTGGGAAATCAGGAGGGTTGGGAGCACCATCGCATCAGGACAGCGCCTTTCTCTTGGCTTCCAGATCCACTCTCTCAGAATGCCAGGCCTGTACCAAGACGTCACAGTTTTGGTTGTTTCCTACCAGTCCACAAACGCTAACCTGGCATGACTCTCCCTCCCTAGAGACCGCAGGGGGCTGGCCTCCCCCGAGGGTGCAGTATGTAAGGGTGTGGGGTCAAGGGCAGGGCCAGAGGGGCGTCTTCGGTCAAAGGTGCGGAGGAAACGATAAGGGCCCGGGCCTCTGCCCTCGGAGTCCCCATCTCTGCCAGGGCCAGAGCTCTGCACAGGCGCTGTCCAGGGAACACACAGATGGATTCCAGAGAAAGGGCACCCGGGCTGCACACACAGCAATAAATCAACGTCACGTGTTACAGATCAGAAACACACAGGCAAAGCTCTCTGTGTTCAGGTTAAAAAGAAAAGAAAAATCAAGGCTTGGGTATGTGGCTGTTTCTAGGCCATGAGGTACAAAAGAAGTTACTTCGCTAACAACACAACTCTGTGCGCATGTATTTCCACTCGCCTTCCCCCGCCCCGCCCGCCCTTTAAAAACGGATCGACATTCTCACCAGACTTAACGGCTTACTCTCCCCTCAACACCAACCCCAAGGACTGTCACAGAGAAAGGGTTCGCAGCTCACGCATGCGTATGACTTCAACCCCAGCCGGAGGAAGAGAAAGGACGGACAGAGAACTCCCAGGACAGCACTGTTCACCGAAACGCTGGCGACAGCCCAGAAGCCCATCAGCGCCAGAGTGGATGGATCAGCTTCACTCCAAGTGCGGAGTAACGATCTCGCTTTGAGTCCTGCTGTTTCCAGGAGCCCCCTTTCAGCAAGATTTGGAAGGAGGCCTCTGAATATGAAGTCACTGCACTGCACACTCCCTGAGGACAAGCGCCCATTCAAATGTTCTGAGTAGAGGCCCCAGTGCACAAGGAATCTGAGTGGCAGAAATGCTGAAACCTTAGCTGAAATAAACTGAAACCCCTTAACCCGCCTTCAGTTTCCCCTTAGCATGCAGCTTTTACTGCTAATCCTCTCTGTTTACCGCATCATAAACACACACAGCAACTGCTCTAATCTGAAGTCTACAGCTGGGTGTAGGGGCGCATGCTCGCAATACTAGCTACTCCTCTGCTGAGGCGGGAGGATTCTAAATTTGAGCCCAGGCTCAGCAACTTAGCAAGATCCTGCCTCAAAAAATACAAAAAGGGTTGGAGATACAGCTCAGTGGGCTCAAACTCCAGTATCAAAAACAAAAATATAAGTAGTCAAGCATGGTAGTGCATGCCTGTAATCCCAGCACTTGGGAGGCTGAGGCAGGAGGATCTCTGTGAGCTTGAGGCCAGCTAGGGACAGTGAAACCCTGTCTTAAACAAATAAAAGTCTTTTTTCTACGTATAATCTGTCTCCTCCTACCAGACTGTGAAGTCCACAGGGTAGAGACTGAGGGCCAAGCTGGTTCTCAGAGCCTGGCACTGTGCCAGTCCCCAAAGATCAGCTGAAAGAATGTGTGACTTCTCACTGCCAGTAACCAGGGAACCAGAGAGCTTTACTGCTTTGCGGTCTCTATTCCCCAGAAGGAACTACAAGCAGCTTCAGGGTTAGCAACCCTGCCCCTTCCTCTACAGTACAGGTGCCCCTCGGGGTCTGGAGCTGTATCACAAAACTTGAAGAGGGAGGGACCCACAGGGTGGGGGAGAGGCGGCACAGGCCGGCGATGCCCTCCCCACACCCATGAGAGCAAAGGTGCCCAGGATGGCGCCTGGCTGATGATGCCACCAAAAATAACATTTTCACTTTGCCCCATGGCAGGGGAAGGAAAAGGGAAACCCACGGGTCAGGCTGTTTCTGGGCAGCTCAAGGAAACTTTGAGTTTCACTCCCTCGAGCACACCACCCCTCCCGGCAGCCAACCCCAGAGGTGGGGGGGCAAGGTCACAGTCACCTCGGCCCACAGTCCCTGGATGTCAGAGGGGCGGCTGCAGAAAGGAGAGCTGGAAAAGGGACTTGGGCGGCCTGTGGTCAGCTGCCAGCTCTGGAGGAACGGGTGACTTTGTACTTTTTCCACCTTTCCGGGAAGGGAGACAGGAACTGTCATGGCTGGCTGCCTGGAAACTGCCCAGGGCCCTGGGACCCTGAGAACCAGCCCAGCCTTTCAGATGGAGCACGGCCAACGGTGAGCAGCAGGGAAACTGACAGGTCAGCGCACGCCCCGCGGGCCGGGGGCAGAGAGCATGGGACACCATCGGAGACACAGCGGAGTAGGCCACATCCCCACAGGCAACAGGGCTGCAGCTGCCCCGAGCCTCGGGACCCTGCTAAGAAAACAGAACCTCGGAGGCTGG